ACTTATTTTTTTTTATATGTGTAAACAATCAAAAGTAATTTCAATATAAAAAAAACTCAGTTTGCAAAAAGACACGACAAATAAACACCGAAGTGAATTACGGAATTAAGACCTAGAACAACGCGGAGTAGGGGCGGTTAAATCAAAATATTTTAACATAATCGCGAAATCGGATCATCTTATAACGTGGGCGCAAAAAAGGTCGTCCACGGCGACGGCGACGGCCTACGATATTATAATATTATTATGTGTATACATACATGTAGTGTGGAAAGGCCGTCTACCGAAAACGCATAATCTATCCGGGGTGCTTATGCCGGGGGAGGAGGGGCGGTAAATTCGGTTTTATGCCAATAAACGTCCATCAATATTGTGCTTGGGGGGAGGGGGCGGCTTAACCAGTTCGGCGTAGCGTAAAAACGCCGAAACCGTGATTAAATGTTTCCGGACCATTTAATCCGGAGTATTTGTAAAGTAATTAGGCACTCCGGGACACCCGGGGTAAACCCGGCCCGCCCCTCCCCCCCCCCCCGGGGCTGTGTACTTACCCCTCGCCGTTTTCGTTTCGCTCCGGTTCCTTCCTACCTTCCCCGGCGATTTTTGTTTTGTTTTTCCAGCGGTTGATTCGGTAACAATTGTATCTCGTTATCGGACCGCCCGCCGTAATGGATTTAAGTACGAATAAAATACACCGCCGCCGCCGCCACCACGGTATAAAATCCGGCACGTCACAACAGCAGCTCTCCCCTGCGGCTCTCCCTCTCCCTACTCTCTGGAGAAGGATCTCTACGACGATTGTGTTGCCAATTTTCAAAAAAAAAAAAAAAAATAACGCATTTCGCGGATTATAAAAAAAAAGAGAAAAAGAAGAGAGCGTAGGTCCGTCCAATTAGCAATACCGAAATGTTAATTATATTATTCTTACAGCGCCTTAGCAGCTGCATTACACGGTACGAGCGAAACGTGCTACTGTTTTTAAGTGTTTTCGACAACAATAATATTATTGCCGTTTGAATGTGCAAATTACCAATTTCCAATTGATTTGGTGTTTTTTTTTTTAACTCTATGCAAACGCCGAGTACCCATTTAAACTCTACCCACTTAGCGGCAGTGTAAAATCAGAATAACAATAATATGTTAATAGCAATAAAACCAAATCGACAATGCAACCTTTTTTTTTGTTATTAAATCCTATTAGGTAGGCAAGCGTACAAAACATTAAGCGTTTGTTTTGTAAAAACGCACTCAATTGAATTTTATTTTCAATTACATTATTGGCCGGTTTTATTTATTTTCCGCGCTTCGAAACCGATTCATTCCAAGAATAAACTTAAGTTCTACGCATTCCACCGTGCCTTAAACTCGGCCTTTAAAATATATTTCATCTTAATACGCAGTTGCAAGTTTAGTTCTCTACACAATCAACATCTCGTAGTGTTTATTAATATTGTTCTGCCAAACATTATATGTTATGCTTTAACTGTTGGAAAATTTATACAGCTATTTTTTTTAAAAATTTTCATCTTTGTCTTTTATGTATAACCCAATATATTAACGTTGATAATATACATTTTAAGTCGTGTATCCACTCAAAACTAGTAGCGTCTATCGTTGTCCCATCTCTAAAACTTATTCAATTAAAATACATTGAACGAATTGGACGATTTATTGTAACCCGTTGAATTTGCAACAATAATAAAACGCACTGCAAAATTGTATTTGTGACTTTGCTCGGCCGCTCTTTGCAATTCCAATGTTATAATTATTTATGTTTAAGTTATTCACATACCGTCTGTAAGGTATATATAATATACAATCGTGTAAATTCTTTACTCCAACACACTTAATGACAGTATACGCGGGGTAAGCTGATATTGAGTTGTCGTGGAATGCGTTTTGAACATTATCCACAGTGGAATTTCTACTTACAGTTTATAAACATTAAAATTTAGTGAATTCGGAAAGCCATTTTCGCCGAGAACGTTAAACTCGAGTTGGAGAATCTCTCAAGACCAATTTTACTTTGGCCCTTATCCAATCGCGCTGGCATTTTGCTATACTTATATTATACCAGGGCGCATATTATTTAAGTTGAATATTTATAATTATTGTTGTGCATAGTACAAATTTGAGGGAGCAAAAACGATTCTACATGATATTTTGTCAGTGAGTATATTGTATCAACAGTGTCCGGCTATCACTATGAAATTTGTTTTCTATTGCGCACCTAACAATGTAGTAGGGTATAAATTAAAAGTTTAAAAAGTACACAAGGCTGGTAAGTTCAACGTTAACTTTTATGATGGCAATTACTTTGATCAAGGCCCGTGTGCGCGGACATTAGATAACGATAACGGCCCTGGTAAATATCCTCGTTTGCCCAGGTCATCATCTGCGCTGATATTTTGCCACTACTTTTAACAGCTTTCTTCCGCAAGAAGTTTAAACGAGCACGCCAACGGCCGTCCGAACGGTTTTTGTAACAGCCGCCGGAGTTTTTAAGCTTTTAACTCGTTTGGGAAAAATCACCGGCCCGAAAAGTCGAGCTGCGGACTTTGCAAAAGTCGATGGCAAATAAAAACGGCTATTGAATAACCCTAGGCCGCACAGTCGACCCGAATATACATTCACCGATCGTTTCCCAGCCACCCCTCTACCGGGCTGATTTATTATTTGCAATAAAATTGTATTATCATATCAAGCGCAGACCGCGACCAACGCTTTCCGACGACATAAATCTCCGAGATGGCCCATCACAACACTTTTCACTAGAACTGCACGGGCAACGCGGTCGTCGTCTCCCGGCGATATCGATAAACAATAAATATGTATATTTGATTTTTACAACCCCTATACAACACACCTAAACTAGTTACGATAAAACGTACCTATACTTAAGACCACGCCCACTAAGTCGTCACTTAAAACGCGTGGAGGATGTTCGAGCACAGTCATCAATGGGCATCATATTATAGGGTTTATGTGCATCGTGTAAAACCGCAACAACGCTATTGAGTTTGTTTTATTATTTGTATAATAGTTAATTTATACACTCAATTCGTACAATTACTTCTGAAACCCATTATGATATAAGTCTGTCAGGATTAAAAAAAGAAACAGTAATAACTCGAAACTAAATGCTTTGTCGTAACAACCGGGTGATTAATAATCAATAATAATTAAACGCGCGTTTCGGTTAGCTGTATATGTATATTTTAAGGTCCTAAGGGTGTACGTTTGTAAACCTTTGATGTGAATAAAATATAATGGCGGCGACGACCACGGAGCATATAAAATTACAATTCCGATAAAACATAATATAATATACGACCGGAGACATAGAAATCGGTAATTGGAGTAAGCTCTTTCCGGACAGCTGTTTAGCTATAGCAATTTATAATCCCCAAACCGCGGCCAACGGCTGTTATTGTGGTTTTATCGGAAACCCTTATTACTGTGTTTCTTTTGATCATGGAAAATTCCACGGAATACGTCACCGAAATGTATACTTTGTGTACCTACATAATATAGTTAGGTAGGCGTGTACAAGCACGGCCGTGTATATTGTACGATCGGTTTTGATAAATGATCATTTAATTTAGCGAAAAACAAATAAACTTTAAAGCTAGAAACGTAGAATGTTGTTAGACTTTGTTATAAACGAACAGACCGAAAGGTGTCGTTCCGCTAACTAGAATTTTCCAGGAAACGAAAAAAGTTTTTCTTCCTTTTCGAAACTCACAAAGGTCATTTTCCTTCCATTTTTAACGTACCACATGGCCCGTTTTCGCAGCTAATGACGTGCGACGGTGAGCGAAATAACAATTGAAAAAATGGGACAAGACCCATTTTTGAAATAAATCGTCTTAACGAGAAAACAAATCCAGTAAAGAAGTCAATAAATTGAGTACACGAGTAAAAGACTCTAGTAAATGAATATATAAAGTGTAAACTAGTGAACGCAAAGAGTAAACAAATAGATATAAAAAATAAATCGTTTAAACAAATTGATCAAACGAGTCAATAAATGGAGTAAACAAATTTACTTCTTCTTCGGGTTTTCAAAGGTCATTAAGGACCATTGTCGCAACACATACCTGCTTCCATCTATCCCTATCCTGTGCTATTGCTTCTCCATTCTGAATTCCAATTTCCACTAGATTCTAAATTTGTTTAATGGTATAATAATAATGTGTTGTGTCGAAATTGCAAGTGCAGAAAACCGGATGAGCCACCGCGGAAAGTAGCCGAGTTAAAAGAATGTCATTCATGTCGGTCGAATCTGTTCATAAAATTTAACTACCCAGTATAGCTTTTATAATAATATTATTATGTATATTTTGCATTATTTGTTTTTGCTTGTACGGTGTACATTATCGTTATGCAAATTACAAGAACTTTGTAATGTGTTTCCTGCGGCGGACGGGCAAAAAGTACAAAGTAAAGGCTGATCTTCTGAAAAATGTTTAATTTTGACAACTCCGCTTTGCCCAGACACCGGGTGGGTAGGCCTAGGTGAGAGAATATGGGCTTTCGAGTGCCGTGCTCTGCTACTACGTGTTTGTACTGCTAAAACGGACATACGTCGTCGAAGTTTTGACAGCCAACCTTCAGCAGCCGTAATGGATGAATTTCGTCCTTGTTCGGCCCTGAAGGGATGCCGCGCAGGTTATCCACCCCGCCGTCCCATCTCTCTCTCACGCTATCTCTAACCTACATAGCATAACGTTTCATAACGTTATCTATTCCAATTTCTCCTTCCACTACGGTTTGGCCATTCGGTTTGCTGTTCATTCACGAACATTGCCCGTCATGAATAACTCAACAGGCGAACAACACAATATATTTTTCCCTAGTCGCAATGGGTATCACACGAGCACACAGCCATTACCGGGGGTAGGGGGGGGAGGGATACGTGACTCGTTCCCGCGTTATAGATATAAGGAATCAATATATAAATGGCCGTCGAGGCAAATTACCGAAAATGTAATACAACTCACCGGCCAACAGTTGCAGGTAACCGGCAATTTTCGCCGTAGATTTCTGGATCACGTGCGTCACACAGCAAGCTGAAATCGCCGACACGGCCACTATTACCGTGATTGCGGTTGCACTACCAATGAGGACCGTGCTGGCTTGCCACCATACGCTTGGGATGTCGTTGAACCTGGAAAAAAAAAACCAACCAAACATAGTATTATGTTCAATGAAAGCTTCGGTCTAGGGTTTCTTTGTATTTCACCGTCGTCGCAACGCGGCAACCTTCAGATCTTTTCTAATCTCGTTAACCCGAGTAAAATACTAAGCGAACAGGCGTGATGCAGTGTAAAAAATTACATTCTTATCCACTATTGAATGAGCTGTTCATTGCAATAATAAAAAAAATTGATTTACTACAATAAATTATCACTTGTTGGCAATAAACATAGTTATAAACTGCAATGGCTTATAATTAGGATGATTCCTAAGGCCTTTTTTTTAAAAATCATAACGGCCCACTTAAGGGGTATCGCTGTTTCGTCCCAGGAGGTTTGCAAATGATTTTATTTGGTTTTTAATTGAAATTGTAATACTTAACCGAAGAATACCGTTGAAGAACTACAGTGAAAAAGAACAGAAAATCAAAATTGAGCGATAGAAATTGAGCTAAGATTTTCGAATAAACACTTATTCGGTTGTTTGGTGTTGAACTTTAATTATTTTTCCAATGTAATATGTGTCGACTTTAAATTAACGTTGGCGGCAAAGTCTCTACACCACGTTATGTATTTTACGGTGAAAGTTTGAACACAATAATTGTAACACTGAGCAACTTGACAGCCACGTGTCGAAGGAATGAAAAGACTCGGGAGCCGTTCGCTCGATTAATGACGGTGAAACACAACAGAGATACAGAATGACTCGAGTACACATCATGCACATACACACACACACACACGAACGAACGAGCTCAAGCCTTTGACTTATTTAATTCGGTAGCACATACGTCCCCGTGTGCTGTCGACAATAAATTCCTCGTTAGACAATACACAATTGTTGTTCTGCCGATTCTGTGTACAGGTGAATTACACATCATAGGTACTCTGTTCCTGTGTTAACCTAACAAAAAACAGCTCTCTCCGGGCCAGACATAATAATAGTACAAGGATCGCGATAACACGGGGTCGGGGGAGGGAATTAATATCGGTATTGTATTGAGGAGTACAAAAGGGGCTTTCGACCGGCGACTTAAGCTCCGGCATGTGTGCACACTCCGACGGGATTAACAGGATCTTTTAGGACGTCAGGAATTCGTGCACGCCAACGGGAGAGGAATTTCCGAGAACGCGATCACGTACCAGGCCGTCTGTGACCTTTGCCGCCGCTTTTTGAGCGCCAATGGGAAAAATTATGTACATGTCTGATCAAAGGGGCGAAAGGGTCCTAGGCGAATGAAAAAAAAAAAACATCACAGCACAAATGTTTTGTGTTTTATGCTGTAATTCAACGTTGTCCATAATATAGATGTGTTACGCGTGTAAGAGCGACGAGCCGATTTAATATATAGTATTTCAGGGACGCGATTTCAGGGGCCTACAGGGACTAAAGGAGTGATTTTAAACTTTAACCGGCTGCCGTAAATCAGGATTTCATTTAAAACATTTGATTTTTTTATGATCCTCTTATGTTGATAAATACTTCAGAGGTATTCAAGTGGTTTCTTTCAAGTTTAAAATCGCTTCCCTGTAGAATCACTGAAATCGACTTACACACTTATTCACAGTTGTTACAGATATATATCTGATGTAGTATTATATAACACCCTTTCTAAAATAATTTGTACAGTTATTAAAAATATTTACCTGCTTTGCTGTGAAAAAAAAATGATAAAAATAGCGTCCTACGATAAATCGATCACATCACCCTGTATTATACATAACATAACTATATCCTCCTTTTCGGGGTTCATTCCTTTACCGGCACGATAAACGTTGTTGCACACTTAGCGAGTATTATCGTCGTTCGATTGTTTGTTGATTCTCTCAAAATCGTTGTTTCATTATTCTTTTGTACGGTTACAGAACAATAGGCTCGACGAGGGAAACCGTTTTGAGTTTTGGTGTTTTCCATCACGTTAAAGGCTAACAAATACTCGAAATGAAATAGTGATAAAACCAAATATATATTGTTTCGGTCTCGGTGTAATTATTTTGTTCATCCGAAGGCAGCAAAATCAATTGTAATATGTATAGGCGGCTATTCACGCAGCAAAAAAAAAAAAATGATTAGTTAAATAAATAATAAGTGTTTTCTATTATTTATAGAACATTTATTTATGTTTAACTATTTTGCAATTTGTTTTTTTTTCGTGATACAGTTTGCCTGTGTGAGAGTGATTGAAATAGGGAGTTTTACATGAATACCTTCTCAGCATGACATGAATTATCATTAAACTATATTGTTCGCTTGATAAAATATACAGTTACCATCAAGTCATAAGATTCCGTCGTTAAGTGAATCGATTCGTAGTTTTGTTTACAATTACATGACTAAATTTCACAACAGTTAATGCTTATAGATTATTGGACTCTACATTGTACGTCTTAAATACGCCGTAACGCGAAGTTCAAATGTAAACACGATTTGTGTTTCAAATTAAATGCAGGTAAATGTCAATCGCGAACGCCTCTGAGAATCTGGAAGCGCATTATTCCCTCGGGTTGTACGCAACAATTATTTAAGAGACTCGAGCAGAATACAAACGTAACTGTCAAAATTATTCAGAAATTAGAGAAACGTTCTACTGTCGGAGAGTAGTAATCAAATTCGAATTTCACAACACCGCCGGCACAAGTAAACTAAACATGCAAAAATATTAGTTAAATATTGACGGAAATAAAACATAATATAATAAAATATGTTACAACGTTATTGTCCATATTTGTTTTTATATTATAATAGTTAGGTATTATACAGGTACTATTTTCTCTGTTTATTTTTGTTTTAATTATAACTATGTTTAGTAAATTATTACTTTGTCGAATATCTCGTTATTATCGGCGACACGGTGACGGTGTTAAAATTGTTTTGAAAGTTTGAAAGCTGTTTCGAGGGAATTGCTCCGAGGACGAGTGTAATCATATTCCAGGCATGTTCGATCATGTGTTTTCCCTTGTAAGCCTTTAGCCGACGGCCCAGGTTCAGTCTCGTGCCAAAATATTAACAAAATGATTATATTCGAGGTACCGCGTGTGTGCGAAAATAATCCCATCTCGATTGAATTAATTCGCAGCCCGAGCGAAGAGGATTAAGACCAAAGCTCACAATTCAACTTTAGCCAGCAAACATAATTATATATACACATATATGTATACATACAATTGTCTCGTATGAACTATTATCAACGCAGTGAATTGAGGTTTCGTCGAATTTGACGGACTGTTGCGCTTTCAGCACCAACTCAAGTACCCTATTACTGTGCCAAGTTGCGATTTTAGACCGACATTAAACAATTACGGTATTGTACTCCGCTTGTGAGCAAATTGTAATACACCTAACATAAGTTTTAATGGTTGAACGCGTACCAATTATATTATATTAGGCCAACTCCCTTAGGAATAAATATATCAACTACAATAGTAGCAGTTTTTTCGGTCAATTTGAATTTTTTGCTAGTTCTTCTTTGGATAAACGTCAAAGTGAGTAACGTCTAGTTTTCTGTAAAACTATAATACATTTTAATGTAGTTTCGTACTTATAAATGCAATATCTTTATAAACGTATTCGTATAATATTTATAAGATAGACGAAGTGGAAATAGCAATAATTTTTCATGTGAATTGGTACAAATTTTCAATAACAATATTATAAAGATAACCTGTTTTTATAATAAAGTCTTATTTTTTAGTTATTAGTTTGATAGTATTTCCTCTTATTCGTTAAGAAACTAGACTCGATTAATAGCTACTAAAAATTGTTGAACGTTATTGTTTATTTTATCCAAGTACTCGCGTGACAAATATAATCTTTTTAATATCATAAAATATCACTTATTCAGCTTCCATTAAGGGGTTTTTTTTTACCATAAGATAACACCGAGAGGCAGACATATTATGAGATTATTAGTGTGATTTCCACACCTGCGTTTTCTTTTTCGACTGATTTCTCTTCACAATGTGTCGTTCTTATCACATCATCGTCCCTTGACAATATAACTTTGTTATCCTTTTCGCAAGATACGGTTGTCCTGCGAGGATGGTAGAGTGGAGATCAAACGACTGCCTTAGAAAAAAAAATTGTGCACGCAGGCAACCGGTCAAACGTTTGCAATAAATCATATCGGCTTGTTGACACCGAACAAGGAGTATCTTTGGGAATTTTCCCCACGAGGTCGATACTACACCGTTCGTTCATTTATTACGGTTATTATTTATTTATTATTATTTTTTGCCCGTAAAACAAACGCGCACGAGGAGCAAATGTTTTCGGTGTCGCGGCAGTTCATCTTTTCCTTCGATCGTCTTATAAAATATAACGGCCGATTGTTCCCCAAGGTGCTTTTTGGCAAATAATCTCCACGCCGGATTGCCGCAATTCCAATGGACGTGATGGGAATAATTGACGAATGCGCGCTTATACACGGTTAGTATAAAATACACATGTACCCGCCGTGGATATATATATTTTTTAATATAACTTTAAAAAATAGCATTACAGTGATCTCTGAGCATATTGAGACGATGAAGGTCACGGGTCTAGTGGTAATACACACAAATTAACACAAAATTGTATTTTTAGCTTTATGGTGGATACGGTTTGGGCTGAAAATCCGTCTAATAATAATTTGTTACCCATAAATCGTAATCGACGATATGGTTTTGGCTAAGTACCTGTCACTTGAATTAAAAATTGCGTTTTGCCATTTTTCATTCTGTTTGACTCTGTGAATAGTAGTGAATATCGATAAAAATCATTGTAAATGCAAAAATATGTTTAAAATTGTGTTACACTTTGTTTTCTGTAAGGTTTGGGTTTGGTTAGGTTGGTTGCCACTGCAACCTAGATTAATAAACTATGGTCAGTGAAATTTTCGCTTTTTTTTTGGCTTTTCCTTAATAAAAAAAAGTTTTGACAATAGATTTTTGAGAAAATTGTATATGTTATAGCAGACCCACTCTAAATGTACCG